TTTTTTTTTTTTTTTTCTTTGATAATAACGTGCCTTTTATTCTAATTTCTCCATTCAGAAAATTTGAATTCTTTCAGATGTTTTTTACCAGAGATATTTTACCAGCTAAAATATATGTCGGACGTAAATGATTCTTGTTTGCGGAGTAAGGGTTAATAACAAATTACTGGACTGCGGATTTTTATGCGAATTTAACTAATAATATTATTTATACGTAGCATTTGCAGTATCATTATAATTAGTGGTATTATGTAATTAATTGTTAATTTAAAATTCTATTTGTTCATCAATCGAATATTTCGTAAGTGAAATGAAGTGAAATGAGTTTATAATGATATGAATTTGCACAAATACTCGCAGTGATGATACACTACTTGCTATTGATCCTCCAAGGATGACGCTTCATGTCGATGATTTAGATTCTTCAATGATTTTCATAGATTTAAATTTACATTAATAATTAATAATAATCAAACAAGTTCAACGATTATTTTTTAAATTTTGAACGGTGCCAATAAATGATTACATATTGATTTTCTTCATACAAAATTATGTTCGAAATAGCTTCGTAGTGAAGTTGCACAGACATCGTCACCGAAGGATTAAAAAGTAACCTTTCTTTTTTGTATAAAATATAATTGACAACTAAGCTAGCTATAAAAGCTAGCGAACTCTGAGAAAAGCTCCCAGATTTAAAATTATAGATCTTCCAAGAATAATCGATAGATTCGCAAGTTTTATGAAAAAATTAAGAAGCTAATTAATATGACAGTAATCGATATACGTACTGATATCGTTTGAAGTATTAGAAACAGAAGGACTGGAGGAATTTATGTACAATCTTGTATTTTATTCGACGAATTTTCACTTTTATAGATTCGTTGCTGGAGTGATAAATCGGGAACGAGTACCGTCTTTCGAGAGAATGCTGTGGCGAATATCACGTGGAAACGTATTTCTACGTCAAGCTGAGCTCGATAAGCCATTAGAAGATCCAGCTACTGTTAGTTCACTTCTTATCTCCTTTGCCTCCTTAAAAGATCGTTATAATGATGGTTATATATTTTTCACTGTAACGTTCTATTAATATGCAATCTCTGTTATGTCTATTTTCATCATTTCTTATATTTATCTCTAAAATCACGTACGCAAGGATTCGAAGGATTTGGTAAGATCTTAATCTTAATACTTTGGCTTTAATGGTATCGTCGTAACATGATTCATTAGGTATTATTCCTTTCGATAAACTTGTAATTTGTCGTAGTTCTCTTTGTATCTTTCATTGCTCGCTCGTTGTACCTTTATCTCTGTTATTAATTGAAAAAGAAAATAACTTTCTATTTTATCGCC